GCTGTCATTTCTCCACTGTATATCCATGGCTCCTTTATTGTATATTAATTGAACATATATGCTTGGGTTTATATCTGGGCTCTCTATTCTATTTCACTGGTCTACGGGTCTGCTCTTGTGCCAGTACCAAACAATTTGTCTTGATTACTGTGGCTTTGTAGTAGAGCTTGAAGTCAGGAAGTGAAATTCCCCCCAGCTTTATACTTCCTTCTCAGGATTGCTTTGGCTATTCAGGGTCTTTTATCATTCCATATGAATTTTAGAACTATTTGTTCCAGTTCATTGAAGAATGCTGTCAGTATTTTGATAGGGATTGCATTGAATCTGTATATAACTTTAGGCAGGATGGCCATTTTAACAATATTAACTCTTCCTATCCATGAGCACGGGATGTGTTTCCAATTATTGGTATCTTCTTTAGTTTCTTTCATGAGTGTCTTGTAATTTTCAGAGTATAGGTCTTTCACTTGCTTGGTTAGGTTTATTACTTGGTATTTTATTTTATTTTTTGATGGAATTGTGAATGTAATTGTTTTTCTGATTTCTCTTCCTGCGAGGTCATCATTAGTGTATAGGAATGCAACATATTTCTGTGTATTAATTTTGTATACCGCAACTTTGCCAAATTCAGATACTAGATCTAGTAGTTTTGGACTGGATTCTTTAGGGATTTTTATGTACAACATCATGTCATCTGCAAACAGGGACAGTTTGACTTCTTCCTTGTTTTCTTTTTGTTGAATCTTTGTTCTTTGTGTTGTCTTATTTCTTTGTGTTGTCTGATTGCCATGGCTAGGACCTCCAGTACTATGTTGAATAGAAGTGGGGAGAGTGGGCATCCTTGTCTTGTTCCATATCTTAAAGGAAAAGCTTTCAGCTTCTCACTGTTAAGTATAATGTTGGCTGTGGGTTTGTCATATATGGCCTTTATTATGTTGAGGTACTTGCCCTCTGTACCCATTTTGTTGAGAGTTTTTATCATGAGTGGATGTTGAATTTTGTTTAATGCTTTTTCAGCATCTAAGGAGATGATCGTGTGGTTTTTGTCCTTCTTTTTGTTGATGTAGTGGATGATGTTGATGGATTTTTGAATGTTGCACCATCCTTGCATCCCTGGGATGAATCCCATTTGATCATTATGGATGATCTTTCTGATGTATTTTTGCATTCGGTTTGCTAATATTTTGTTGAGTATTTTTGCATCTATGTTCATGAGGGATACTGGTCTTTAATTTTCTTTTTTCGTGGTGTCTTTGCCTGGTTTTGGTATTAGAGTGATGTTGGCCTAGTAGAATGAGTTTGGGAGTATTCCCTCTTCTTCTTTTTGGAAAACTTTAAGGAGGATGGGTATTAGGTCTTCACTAAATGTTTGATAAAATTCCTCAGTGAAACCATCTGGTCCAGGAGTTTTGTTCTTAGGTAGTTTTTCGATTACCAATTCAATTTCTTTGCTGGTAATCGGTCTATTCAGATTGTCTGTTTCTTCCTGGGTTAGCCTTGGAAGGTTGTATTTTTCTAGAAAGTTGTCCATTTCTTCTCGGTTATCCAGTTTGTTACCATATAATTTTTCATAGTATTCTCTCATAATTCCTTGTATTTCTGTGGTGTCCATAGTGATTTTCCCTTTCTCATTTCTGATTCTGTTTATGTGTGCAGATTCTCATTTTTTCTTGATTAAGTCTGACTAGGGGTTTATCTATTTTGTTTATTTACTCAAAGAATTGGCTCCTGCTTTCATTGATTCTTTCTATTGTTTTATTCTTCCAAATTTTATTTATTTCTGCTTTCTTCTTTATTATGTCCCTCCTTCTACTGACTTTGGGCCTCATTTATTCTTCCTTTTCTAGTTTCATTAATTGTGAGTTTAGATTGTTCATTTGGGATTTTTCTTCTTTCCTGAGGTAGACTTGTGTTGCAATATATTTCCCTCTTAGTACGGCCTTTGCTGCTTCCCACAGATTTTGCGTTGTTGTGTTATTGTTGTGATTTGCCTCCACATATTGCTTGATCTCTGTTTTTATTTGGTCATTGATCCATTGATTATTTAGGAGCATGTTATTAAGCCTCCATGTGTTTGTGGGTTTTTTCATTTTCTTTGTGTAATTTATTTCTAGTTTCATACCTTTGAGATCTGAGAAGCTGGTAGGTACAATTTCAGTCTTCTTGAATTTACTGAGGTTCTTTTTGTGGCCTAGTATATGATCTATTCTTGAAAATGTTCCATGTGCACTTGAGAAGAATGTGTTTCCTGCTGCTTTTGGGTGGAGTGTTCTGTAGATGTCTGTTAAGTCCTTCTATTCTAATCTGTTGTTCAATGCCTCTGTCTCTTTATTTATTTTCTGTCTGGTTGATTTGTCCTTTGGAGTGAGTGGTGTGTTGAAGTCTCCTAAAATGAATGAACTGCATTGTTTCCACCTTTAGTTCTGTTAGTAGTTGTTTCACATATGTAGGTGATCCCGTGTTGGGTGCATAGATATTTATAATAGTTATATCCTCTTGTTGGACTGACCCTTTATCATTATGTAATGTCCTTTTTTGTCTCTTGTTATTTTCTTTGTTTTGAAGTCTATTTTGTCTGATACAAGTACTGCCACTCCTGCTTTTTTCTCCCTGTTAGTTGCATGAAATATCTTTTTCCATCCCTTTACTTTCAGTCTGTGTATGTCTTTGGGTTTGAAATGAGTCTCTTGTAGGCAGCATATAGATGGGTCTTGTTTTTTAATCCATTCTGTGACTCTATGTCTTTTGATTGGTGCATTCAGACCATTTACATTTAGGGTGATTACTGATAGGTATGTACTTATTGCCATTGCAGGCTTTAGATTCGTGGTTACCAAAGATTCAAGGTAATTCCTTTACTATCTAACAGTCTAATTTAACTCACTTTGTATGCTATTATAAACACAACCTAAAGGTTATTTCTTTTCCCTCCTTTTTCTTCCTCCTCCATTCTTTGTATGTTATGAATTATATTCTGTACTCTTTGTCTATCCCTTGGGTGACATCTATTTAGCCTTAGGAATTCTTCCATCTATAGCTGTCCCTCTAAAATGCACTGTAGAGATGGTTTGTGGGAGGTAAATTCTCTAAGCTTTTTCTTATCTGAAAATTATTTAATCCCTCCTTCAAATTTAAATGATAACCTTGCTGGGTAGAGTATTCTTGGTTCAAGGCCCTTCTGCTTCATTGCATTAAATACATCATGCCACTCCTTTCTGGCCTATAAGGCTTCTGTTGAGAAGTCTGATGATAGCCTGATGGGTTTTCCTTTGCATGTGATTTTTTTCTCTCTCTAGCTGCTTTTAAAAGTCTGTCTTTATTCTTGATCTTTACCACTTTAATTATTATATGTCTTGATGTTGTCTTCCTTGGTCTCCTTGTGTGGGAGATCTGTGCACCTCCATGCACAATTCATTCTTTTTCTTCAAGTATGTCTTGACACTTCCTCAGCTTTTCTGTATTAATTTTAGAATTATTTTGCCAATTACTGAGCAAAATTCTACTGGAGTTTTGAATGAAACTGTATGCAATCTAAAGATCACTTTGGATATGACACCCTCAATACATTGTCTTCCTAATTCATAAACATGGTCATGCTTTTTCTCTGTCTACTGGTGACCAAATTCCCCTTTCAGATTGTTATTATGGTAAGTTAAATTAATAGATTTTCTATTATTATCAACTTTACATTTCTGGAATAAATCAAACTTATTATGAATGATATATTTTATACATTTACTACTATTTTCTTTAAGACTTTAACAGCTGTGTTAATGAGATTGGTTGATAGTGTCTGTTCTTTCTGGTAGTGACCCCTTGTGTGGTTGAATGTCAATATTATTCAAGTGTCACGAGAAAACCTGGGGTTATATTCCCCCTTTTTTCTAGATTCTTAAGGAGTTTGTCTCAGACTGAAATTATTTCTTCCTTGATGGATGGTATGAGGGATGATAGATGGATAAATATGTGTGAAAGCCAACATAGTAAAATGTTAATGGCAGAATGTAGGTGGGTTTATTTGGAAGATCACAGTAAAATGACTTCAACTTTTTATATTTGAAAATTTTCATAATAGAATATTGAGAAAAATATAAGCCCCTAAACTTATAAGATAAAAAGAATATGAAAAATATTTGTTATACATATTGTAAAAGTTATTAGCATATAAGAAGAGCTCATTCCAATTTATTTAAAAAAAATCAAGAACCCTATAAAATATCACAAAAAAGACATTAACAAAATACAAATGGGAAATGGCCCATGGAAAATATTCAGTTACTTCTAACCAAAGGAATTAAAAATAAAGCAAACCTGCAATACCATTTTATGCATTCACTATCACCAAGCACAGCCTGTCTGGGAAGCAATCTGGCCATCCATAAGTCACAGAGCTTATCAATTCCTTTGACCTGGTGGTCCCACTCCTTAGAATATGAACTATATCAGTCAAAAGCAGCCAAAAGATGTTCACTGCAGTATCATCTACTCAAGGATTCAACTATGAACCAACCTAAATGGCCTTCAAAAGAAGGAAGATCTAATAAATGATGCACATCAGTTTAAAGGAATGATATGTATATATATATATGTAAAAAATGACAACAATGGAAGCTTATAAGGAAATGTGTGAAGAGTACATAACACACAATCAGCTGGAAAAGTATAAGGATAAAATGAAATATGCATTGGCATTGTAAAGGAATATGAAAAATTAATGAAAATGACATGTAACTATCTGAGGAGATCGTGACTGATTTCTTTTATTTTTTCTTATTGTATATTTATTGATTGCCAGTTATTTTTTTTTATTTTGTTATCATTAATCTACAGTTACATGAAGAACATTATGTTTACTAGGCTCCCCCCTTCACCAAGTCCCCTACACATACCCTGTGACCGATTTCTTTTTCTTTAATCTTTACATTTTCTTTTATCTTTTCGATAGATCTTTCAATTAAAATAAAATAATTTAAAAACCCATCTCAAGACTGTCTACTCACAGTGCTGAGTTTGCTGCAAATGATGAGTATCCGGCGTTCGTAGAGCATACTGGCATACAGATGTAACATGTTGTTTACATCCACAGCCACAAAATATTCTGTCAGATTTCTCTAGGAGAAAGAAGAAGGGGAGGTTTGTGGCTTACTTTATTTGTTCTCATTACAAGCAGTACCTAATAAAAGCAAAAAAACACAAAATAATCATAAAGTATACTCTCCTTTTCCCCTGTCCTATTCTTTCTACCTGGGAATCCAAATCCCACTCATGTATAAAATCATGAAATGTAAAATTGGTAGCAACCTCAGGGATGAAGTCCCTCTGTGTGGTGATTAGAGTTTACAACATGAGATGAGAACATTTACAGCACTGTGCTGCTTTTCACATCAGTTCTAAAAGGTGAGCAGGACAGGAAGTCCACAACCTTACAAATGAGGAAACCAAGGCAAAGAAAGATATGCTAAACAGCACTAAATTATGTTTTCTACCTTTATCTTGCATCTACCTACCACTTCAGCATTTTAGTAAGAAATAATAATAGTAATAATAAGGGAGAAATGTGGGATTCACATATAAATCAAGTATAAAAATCAAACAAATAATCATATCTGACTTGATTGTTTATAGTTCATGATGCATGATCAAAACTGAAAGTTTGTGATATGACTGCCCTTGCACTGTTCACCTTGTAAGAACTTATTCACTATGTAAGAACTTACTCACTATGTAAGAACTTGTTCGTTATGCTTCAGAAGATTGGAGACTGTTGAGAATTAGGCTTGGGATTGATTAATGATTGTGCATTGAGTCCCCTATACAGAATTTTATTGTTGTTAACAACCATTTGATCAATAAATATGAGAGATGCCCTCTCAAAAAAAAAAATTTAAAAAAAAGGACTGCAGCTCAGATCTTCTAGTCCCACATTCTAGAACTCTCGCAATGCACCAAGACATCCATCTAAGCAGAAGAAAACACGCAGAGACCAAAATGCTTCTAGTCCAGGGCCTGTTTCTATCCAACTGATGCCACTCACAAAGGCCATGTGTGCTCTTCTGCTATCAACAGCACTGTTGTCCCCTTTCTCCACAGTTTACATTCTCTAAAATGACTCGGCTGGAATTAAAGCAATTTCAAGGATTTACAATTCCCAGGTATTTCACTCAAAAGGAAAAAGAAATCGAAGACAAGCAGCAGCAAGTTATGACAAAGCAGTGTTTTAACTAGCTTTTGTTAGTAGCCTGGGTTTCTTTCTGTTAATTAGTACTATGGATGGGTACTCTTCAGATTTCAGAAATCATTTCTGCAACCCTTTCTATACCCGCCTGACTTTAATAATACACATGAATATGCTAATTTCTTCAGTGTTGCAGGTTTTCAATGCCACACAATATAACCCTCTAAAAATGATGGGGATGAGAGGGAAAGAATACTGTTGCCAGGGGTTGCAGTGTACAATGTATAATGGTGAAATATCTATAACCCATACATTAAAGTAACCAGGTGCGAAACAGCATAAAGTGCTTTTCAACAAAATTACGGGTTGGGAAAAAGAGTGGGCATGTACCTTGTGATTTATTTTTTTTTGAATGGAATACCAGGTTAACCACCAACTTTTATAAATAAAGAGTGCATTAATAGCTCCATAGACTGACTACCTACAAAATACCAGGCACTGTACCTGGTACTTTGTATGTACAATCTTAGGCAATCTGTAAAAAGCCAACTCTTTCCAATTTACAGATAAGGTAAGCCTGGGAGAGATTCAGTAACTGTTGGAGTCAGAGTCTAGACTCAGATCCAACTCTGTAGCCCACACACTTCCCTTACATTACACTACCTCACTTAAAAACCTTTAGACATTTACAACTTGCAAAGCTTTACATATATTACTTCACTTAATCTTAAAATCTCTCCTTGAGCAGGCATTATCATCCCTACAGACAGATAAGAAAACAGAGACCCAGAGAAAGTGAAGTATTTTGACCATGGTTATATAGTAAGTGGATAAGGCATTATTTAGTCTTGGGTGGGTTTTTCTCTAAATCTGTGTTTCGCTTTTTTTTTAAGTAACACTAAAAATAGATAAAAGTTGTATTTGGAAAAAGAAAGCACAGCATGGGAACAAAGCAGATCAAAGTATGCCTTAAAAAAAGTGTTTCTGTTAAAAATTGTTATCCATTTACTGAGTAATCCTTATATGCTACACACTAAGTACTTTACCTGTGCTCTCTCTAATCTTCTCAACAACCCTGTAAAAGGCATTACCATCTCCATTTTAGGGGTGAGAAAACTGAGGCTCAGGGAGGTTAAGTAGTCTTCCAAAAACCAGGTCTCCTAAATCCAAAACTCTTGCTCTAACCACATATCAACTTGCCTCTTAACAAACTTGAAAACAAAACAAAACAAACAGAAAGGCAGTCTGTATTAATCAACAGAAGTCCTTCTTGCCTGGTGGACTGAGGAGTGCTGAGTTAATGATGTCACGGTAGGGTTTGTTCTGAAGACAGTGACATGGCAGAGCTGTTCTCGAAAATAAAAATACAAGGCCCTCAGCTGAGCATTTCAGTAAAATGCTTAACTGCTGATGAATTACATAAATTTTTCTTTTAGGAGAGGATGGAAGTAAAAAGAAAATAGAAATGAGGAGCTTAAAGAAGGCCAGAAAGCCCATTAGCACTTTTGACAGATCCAAAGATAACTCTGAAGCCACCAAAACGTGGCCTCAAGAGTCTGCCAAGAAGCTTCACGCTGGGTAGAAATATGTTACACAGCTTGCCGTCCAAATAAGGAGACACAGCGTCAGAGACAAATCCTGCACCTTATTTTGGTGGGAGAAAAAAGTCACAGGGGTACTGATGTGGATGGAGAAGGGGACATTTCTGGAATAAAAACACCACTTGGTTGAGGCATATCCCCCAGGCCCAATTAGGTTGACGGATTCAGGTGCTTGTTCCAAAAACTCTACACAGGTACATTAAAAATATGTAACATTTAGCCAAATTCTCTCTAAACTGTCATGTACTTTTTTTGGTACTTCTCATCCCATCTGTGCTGATTACCAAGATATTTGTGTCTAAACAGAAGCTGTCTTTCTTATCTGCTTCCTCCCCTGCCTCTTTCCTTCTGGGATGCCACCCGCTTAGGCGGGTGCGGGCAGCAACAGCCCTGGGAAACTCACTCAGCCACGGGAGCACCTGGAGGGCAGAGAGGGCCTCGGAGTAACTATAGGGGCACTGGCAGTTTCCCCCAAACCTCATCTCAGAAGAAAACCCCTTGGAGGGAAGTGTCTCTTTCCCTGAGCCTTAAGGCATCCAGTGGCTTAAACCGCACCAAATCTTCAATTTCTCAGACCTGCCTTATCATGCCCCCAGCCCTTTACTTCTGCTGTTTCCTATGCCTGGAAGGCTCCTCTCTTCCTTGAGGACACCCAGTTACTTTTCAAGACCCAGTTGATATGTCACCTCATCCTGGAAGACTTCCTTAACTTCTCATTTTCAAGCTCTCCTTTATGCTTCCATGGCAATTTGTCTCTCTTAAAATCAGTTACAAGGATGTTTTTGTCACTAGACTGAGGTCCCTTTGGGTAAAATGATGTATCTCACCATCTAGCACTGTAATGAAAGAATAAATCAATGAGCAGAGAAAGCAATACTGAAGACCACAGCTCCTTAGCTCGGGTGTGTGTAGTGCGGCATGCAAGAAACACACCAGCTTGGAAGAGGGACGAGGTTGTGCATAGGAAGAACATAGCATTTGACCTTAAACAACCAGGGTCTGAGTTGGATGAAGTAATGGTGAAGGACCCATAGGAAAGGAATTGACGCTAGTGACTCACAAAGTCAGGTAAAATAGTGAGATCTTTTTAAAGTATCTGGGGCTACATGTATTAAAAGTCTAAAGACATATGTGGTATTTATCAGGTAATGGGGAGGGGAGATTGGACACAGAAGCAGGTGTTCTTTCACGATCAGGCCAATCATACTTCTCAGATGGGTAAGATCAGAGTGTAGGGAATGGGGCCTGGGGAGAAGGGAACACTTCATGGCAAGTTGTCCTAGGTCAAGGTTGCAGCCAGAGATCATATTTATAAAGGACACAAGGTATAAACTCTCCTAAGCACTTTGCTTCAGTGGAACTAAGTCTTCAACCTCCCATTTCTGTCTCCAATAATCAGCAAATCAATACTTATTTAACTTCCACTATATGTTTAGTACCATCCTGGGGGCTTGGCTCCTGGACATTAACTAGACACAATTCCCATTGTCTAGTTGGCAGATCTGTGTATTGGATGTGGCCTCAAGAGTCTTCCAAGAAGCTTCATGCTGAGTAAAAATAGTCTGGGAATGGGAGTGGCTTTAGATCCAGAAACCTGGTGTGCAAAGTACTGTGGTCCACGCTACACACACTCCAGGCTGGCTGAGAATGGCAGATCCAACTCTGCTGGGGGTAAGGCTGGGGGAGATTTGACAGAAGAGCAGACATTTGGTCTGGGACTTGCATAATGGGTTCACTTGGTGGCCTGGGAGAGAGGCAAACTCCAGGCAGATTAGCTGAGGACAGTGTAGGGGACAGGACGGGGGCTGTGCTGGAGGAGGGAAGTTGGGCACAGGTGCTGTGGAAGCCTAGACTTTACTCTTGGGTAACAGGGACCATGCTCCGGTCACATTTGTGTTTCAGAAACATTTTCCTAGAGGCCCTGTGGAGGGTGCACTGGAGAAGGCAGGCAGGAAGCAGCGCGATAGTGAACTGGCTATTGCCATGTTCTGGGACAGAATGAATAAAACAAACTATTCAGATGAAAGCATTGGATATAAATGTGACACATCTCTATAAGGTGGGAACACTGGGGACCTGACAATGAATTAGACTTGGAAAGGGGTTTGGAAGAATACTAGACAAGCCCTAGACTTCCAGGTTACTGCACATCACACCTGCCCACTTGCCCAGTTTTTTAAAGGGAGTGTCCTTTGTTTAATAAAGGATCTATCATCCTTCTAAAAAACCATCAATCCTGTCAGGTATGGTGTTACTGGCCACCTAGTCTAAGGCTTAGTGTCCTGGATTATAATGCTATCATGACTAAGCCTAAATAATCACCCTTTGATTCCCT